AACTTTCCTTTGAACCTGCATTGGTTTCAATGAGAGTTGCTTTCCTTGGGAACTGAGTACCGTGGTTCTCACATGTTGTTGAGTAATTTGGTATAATTTCCATTTTGTTTCAACGCAACATCAAATCAAATCCAGTTTTGTTTTCAGCCAGGCCCAGACCATTTTTTTTTACACGGTAGTCCTGCTGCAATCCTCTCCCCTCCCAAGGAAGGAGCAGAGTCTTGGTTTAGGCCAGTGTTTCTCAACCTTGGCCACTGAAGAGGTGCAGACTCCAACTCCCAGGATTAAATGGAGCAAAAGTCTCATGGCAGGGCAGGCCTGAAAGGGAACAGTCAACAGACCCGATCATGCCCATGAACAGCTGGCACTCTCACAGTGGCTCTTTGCTCCCAACTTTTGCCAGCCAACCTGGAGGAAGACCTCTGGCCGGCCAGCCTGTCCTTGTAGTGCTAAGAGATGAACCACCCTCCTTCTTAAATTGCTCTGGAGGATAATCAGGGTGGATCTGCTTTTCATCAGGGATGGTTTGCATTCTAGACAAGATGTTGCATCGTCCAGACTCTTTGCAAGCTGATAAAGGAAAAGTGGAGAATCCCCCATTCCTGGACCAGGGTTGGGGCCCAACAATGCACCCTCTTGGTGGTTGCCTCTGCTCCTTGGAACACCTTCCCCTCTGAGATAAGGAGGGTCCCCAACTCTTGGCCTCCAAGAGGGTCCTGCAAACAACTTAGAGCTACTTTGGTGTCGTGGTGAAGGCGCTGGCCTTAAAACCAGGAGAAAGTGTCTGGGGGACTTTGGGCCAGTCCCTCTCTCTCACCCCAACTCACCTCACAGGGTTGTTGTGGGGAAAAGAGGAGGTGGAAAGAGTATTAGGTATGCTTGCAGCCTTCAGTTGGCCAAAATATATAAAAGGGGAGATAAAAATCTAATAAATCATCATCATCATCCTCTTGTTCCATGGAGCGTTTGGTCACTGATGGTATCTGAACTGTCCAGCTAGTCAGTTGTGGCAGAGGGCTGTCCTTTTCTTTTTTAATGGATGCTAATTACTAACCCCGTCAAACGCTGGTGAAGTGGGTCCGCTGTAAATGAATGAGAGCACACAGCCCTGGGATAAAGGGAGAAACAAAACACTGATTTGGCCCCAGTGCAGCTCCCTCTTCCCTTAAAACTCTGTTATGATCAGTTTCTTCCTTCTCTCCTTTTAGAAACGTCTATTACTTCAGGGGAAACATCAGGCAACCGCGTGGCCCGGAAGGAAACCAACTGCGTTTTCCACAAGAACCAAACCCGCTCGGTGCCCAGGGGCTCATCGCTTTTGAGGACAAGCGCACCAAATTCCTTCCTCTCCTGCCTCTGCCCCTTTGCGCTGTTCTTTACACCGCCTCCCAACCCCACGAGAACTCTTCCGCCAGGTCTTGGGAGAATTACCCATTATCCCAGCTGGTGGCGGCAGGCAATAACAGATGCCGAGCCCTTTGCTCCCTCGACAGGCGAGGAGGCTCAACTGCTCAGCGTCAAGAACAGGGCAAGAACGCGCCTGCCCGGGCTTTAAAGTGCTGCCCCTCCATGGGCACACGAATCGGCCAGCTGTCCGGGGTCAGGGGTAGAACTTGCCGATAAAAATAAACAGCTGGGTTTGGAGCAGGAGGATGAATTCAACGGCCACTGAAGGAGAACAAGAGGGGATGGGTCATCCCATTCTCCTAACCTTTTTTTAGATTTAGATTTTTTTAGATTTTTAGATTCCTTTTTAGGTTTTTTAGGTTTAAAGTTGAGAGAGAAGTACTTGTCAGGGAGTTTCCAGGACTGAGGAGGAGACTACAACTGGGTCTCCCTACTCCCAGGCCAGCACCTTCACTGACTATATCACTCCGGCTCTCATAGATGCATGTATTTCCATTATTATTTTTTTTACATTTTTTTTATCCCGCCTTTATCATTTTTTATAAATAGCTCAAGGAGGCGAACATACCTAACACTCCTTCCTCCTCCTATTTTCCCAATAACAACCCCTGCGTGGTGGATTGGGCTGAGAGAGAGTGGGACTAGCCCAAAGTCACCCAGCCAACTTTCATGCCCAAGGCAGGACTAGAACTCACCGTCTCTAGCCTGGTGCCTTAACCGCTAGGCCAAACTGGCTCTTGCAACTCTAGCCCTGTTTTCATGAGAAAAAATAAGAAGAAAAATCTGCATGCCCAATTTTTTACTAATGCTTTTTTTTTTTTTTAACCAACCTGTCTTCTTGCACAGAATGTAATTAAAGGGCAAATGCACAGGGGCAGGTAATTTGGGGTGACCGAGGGACTCGGGTGATGTGCTGAGAGCTACAATGGTGCTTAAATGTTTGTGAACCCTTATAGTGCTCCTAACCAGATAAAGAAAACCGAATTGAACAAATGAGTCAAAAACATTATACTTGTTCGTTTATTTATTGAGGAAAATGATCCAAAGTTGCATATTATTTGGTTTTAGGACTTGTGTGGAGAACAGATCATGTTTTAGGTCATATTAATGCAGAAATATTGAACATTTAAGAGTTTGCAAACTTTTAAGCACCAGTGTACATTCCAAAAAGGAGATGGAATCTGAATAAAGATGTACAGTACCAAAACTAGACCAGGAATTCTGGGAGTTGAAGTCTTAGCGTGGAGAGGGGATCCTACGCAGGAGCTGAAAAGAGGAGCACCCCACGTCTTGGACAACTGAGACCTTCCAACCTACCCATTCCCCACTGGTCGTTCCTGGGCAATTGCCACAGAGCACTCATCCACCTACCTCTGGGCATCAGACAAGGGAGCTTCGTTTTCTTCACCGGCGTCCCCAGCACTGAGCCAGCTAGAGGACAGCAGCTTGGTCCCCAGGCTTCCATCCAGCTCTCTGTCCTCTCGTATCTGCTCTCTAAGGAGGGCAAAGCCACAGGAGGGGCACAGGGTGAAATGGGAGGGGAAAGGAACAGGGGTCAGCAGTTGGGCAGCTGACCCAAACTGAAAGGCCTCCTTTTCCCAGACGTGAATCAGAGTCTACCAAACACAGAATTGTAGAGGTCATATATCCAACCCCCAGATCAGCGCAGGACCCACTAGACGTGTCCGACAGATGACCATCCCGCCTTTGTAGGAAGACCCTTAGACCACACCACTTCCTGGGGCAGTTTGTTCCATTGGGTGACAGCTTGCAGAGTCAGGAAGATGCCTTGAAGCGAAAGGGCTAGGGTTACAAGAGCATCAGCAACTGGCCTATTTCCCACGAGAAGTAACGGGAAACCTACTTATCTCCGGAAACATTATGGTGGAGCCTTCTGTAATTGCTTGCTAGGCTGCGAAATAGCAAGGAGGTGAGCTGTTTTATTCATAACAGATGAGCCTACATGTATCTATTTACAAAAACCGTCTCCAGAACCTTCGTCAGCCTGAAAACCCTCCGTTACAAGAGAGGTCCAGCCCCAACATTCAACAGGTCATTTAAAGTTGGGGAGTCAGCATGGTGCTGGCTGAGTTCATCCACTACAGTAAGCCATGGTTTATTCAAGTCCTGTTTAACCATGATCAGTTAAATAAACCATCCTATTGACTTGATTCTCACAAATCACTAAGGTAGGACTCAAACACATTGTTTGCACTGGCATAGCACGTTTGAGTGGGTCAGGTGAAGACCCTTCTTTTCACAGCTGCAACTGCACAATACATTACACTGGGTTGGTGCCATTCCTGGTGGTTATACTGTGTGATCTTTCCAGTGTTCTTCCTCTTACGGTACTGGGCTAACCCAGGTTCCGCATGCTGTGTTGATGTCCTGCACTGTGGGTAAGCTCAGTCAGTGTCAGGATGATTGAGTTAAAGATCTGGAACTTCAAACCCTCTCTAACTGTGAGATAGAGACTTGGGCAAACCAGCTGATTCACAGAGAAGCCTTCTCTATATTGCCATCTTCCCAACTTGGTGCCTTAAACACATGCCGAGGTCAAAATGGGTGCCTCAAATTCTGTTCTGGTGAGAAATATTTTATTTATTGATGGATTTAACTGACTCATGCAGACTTGTGGCGCCTTACCCAAATCCACAATAAATCAACGCCTCAAATTCTGTTCTGGTGAGAAATATTTTATTTATTGATGGATTTAACTGACTCATGCAGACTTGTGGCGCCTTACCCAAATCCACAATAAATCAACGCCTCAAATTCTGTTCTGGTGAGAAATATTTTATTTATTGATGGATTTAACTGACTCATGCAGACTTGTGGCGCCTTACCCAAATCCACAATAAATCAACCACAAACAGAGTTAAAAGCAATCCATCAGAATGATTGAACCACAATTAAAACATCCCCAGTAACGACACAACTAAAATGCTTATGGTTC